CACACACACACACACACACACACACACACACACACACACACACACACACATTTATTTGTTTTAGGGCTTGGAGTAGCATTCCGCAGCTGCGGGAATACACATCTTATTTCTTCTTCAATTCCATTTGCTTTCTTTCCTTTTATTTGTTCCTGCTCCCTCCTTGTTTTTTTTCCCCCCTTTTTCTTTCTTTATATATTCGCGTCCCCTTCTCTGCCTCCCGCGGCGAGGGGGTATCGCAGACAAGCCAGCGGCGGCAACGGTGGGGCCCGCAAATGCGACTGGGGAAGGAGCAGCTGGAGAGGAGCGACGCGGCGTCGAGCGACGGCCGCCCGCGTCCCGTCTCCGCCGCCGACCTGCTGGTCAGGCTGGTAGGCACGAGCGAGGCCGCGCCGACGAAGCGAAGGACCGTGCAGGAGATAGTGGACGAGCAGGACGCGGACGCGGACGTGGTGCAGGCCGGGCGCTGCTGCACCGTCGTCTTCCTGCCCCTCTTCTTGGCGGCGCTGCTGCTCGGCGCCCTCCTGGGCGTGGGCCTGACGAGCGGGCGGGGGCAAGATCTGAAGGGGGTGCCGCGCGCCGTGCTCTTCATCGTGGAGGGGTTTAAAGGGCGGACCTTCGACGAGCTGCTCGAGGGACAACGGCTGCCGCACATCCGGCGGATGCTGCTGCAGCAGCACGGCGTGTATGCGGCGTGCGCCTCCCTGCGCGACGCGCGGTGCGCCCGTGCCGCCCTTGCCGTGGACGAGGCAACAGGCGAGCCCTTCGTCTCCGCCGGCGCCGGACTCGCGAGCATCTTGACCGGCGTCTCACCGCGACGGCATCGGGTGCTGAACGACTCACGGGCGTCGTACGGCGCCTTCGCCGCGACGTCCCTGCAGTTCCCAAGCGTTGCCCTCCGTGTGACCCGCGCCGGCGGGCGGGCGGCTGCGATCGGCGGCCCTCGCTTGCTCAATGGGCTGAATGCCAGCACCGGGCAGTGCAGCGTGCCGGGGCTGCTAGATGCGGAGTGCGCCGGCGCCGGCGCCGCTGCCGCTGCCGCTGCTGCTCCTGCTCCTGCTCGTGCTCCCGACGCGACTGCCGGTGACGCACCGCCCGCGATGAGTTGCCTGCACCAGCGGTCGTGCAACTTGTTCAGGCGGGTGCTGACGCTGACCAGCGGCCGCGGCGGCAGCGAGGAGCGCCAGTTCACGCACGAGCTCACGGAGCTCTTTGGCGCCCCCGGCGACGAGGGGCAGGAGGCCGGCAACAGCTTCGACAACAGCCTGCTGATATTCAACTTCAACGCGCTCGCGCTGCGCGCGGGGGACCCCGCCCTGCCGGACTTCACCTACGAGCCGGGCTCGCTGGAGTACGCCGCCCAGGCCTTCCTCACAGACAGCCTCATCGGGCAGGTGCTTGCCCTCGTCCAGCAGCGCGCCCGCTTCCGGAAGGAAAACTGGCTCGTTGTCGGCACGAGCAACCACGGCGGCGCCGGCAAGTCCTTCGGCCGCTTCGGCGACGAGGACGAGCTTGTGCCCTTCTTTCTGGCCACCTACACCACCAACAGCCGCGGCTACCGACGCCTGCGGCCGCTGACGCAGCCAGTGACCCACTTGGACGCCGCCCCGACGATCCTGCAGTGGCTCGGCCTCGCCCCGTACGCCGCGGATACGACGGCGGCGGGGACTACGGACGACGACGACGCCTCTGCGCCGCAGGAGACACGCCTCGACGGAGTGCCGCAGGGCGTCTGTGGCTCGGGGTTCAGCCCGAAGGACTGCGTGGCGGAGGGGCAGTGAGGCCGAAAAGAAAAAAAAACAAGAAAAAAAAGAAACAACAGCAACGAAAGCCGCGGACGCCGACGCCTCTGAGGAGGCGGAGTCCGGCACCCGCCGCGCCGACGGTTAGCGCAACCGTGACGGAAATAAACAAAAAAAAAGGAAATACACGAGAGACAGTGAGAAGGATTAAAAAAAAGAATAGGGGGGAAGAAAAGAAAGAGGCTTGTGCATGCGTGGCTGCGGAGAGTTGTGTATAGTGCTTGGCGTGGGACTCTTTTTTTTTTCTCCTTTTTACTTCCGTCTCCTGTGAACTGAAGGCACTCGCAGCGCAGCTGCGGAGGCGGCGCAGCAGCGTGGAGGTCTCTTTTTTTTTTCTCCTCCCCCGCCATTGTCTGCTTTGCCTTCTGCCGGAGCCGTGGAGCGTGTGTGTGTGTGCGTGTGAATTTTTTTTTTCTTCTGCTGTGCGTCTCTTCTCGGGCCTCTTTCTGCCGCAGCAACAGCGACACCTGCGCCGCTCTCCCTCGCCCCCTGCACGTGCGCGCAGCTGCCGACGGGGGTGCTGCTGAGTGGCCTGCGGGAAGGCCTTGGGGAGGGGGTGCGGGCGGCGAAAAGGGGGAAGACTCCCACTCGCTCACGCCCACGGCAACGACACAAAAAGAGCAAACAAAAGAAAAAGAAACGACAATAATAACACCATCACCAACAAGGAAATAAAGACAAAGAAAACATTTAGAGAAGAGGGCGGCCACGGATGCATCGACAAGAGTCTGTTGGCGGCGGGCAAGGCTCCCTCACAACGGCCGAGGTGCTGGACCGCGCGATGGACCAATGTATGCAGCGTGGGCTCTTTGACACCGCGGCGTGGCTCGGGCAGCTTGCCCTCAACGCCACAGACGGCGTTCTGCACGAGCGAATTGCGGCCACCTCGCCGGTTGTCGCGGCGTTGCAGGACCCGCCGCTCACAGGCCGCGCCCACCGCCACCTCGTCGTGGCGCTGAGCCTGATGCAGAAGGGCGAGTACCTGCGCTGCCATTACGAACTTGACAGCGCCCTAAAGGAGTTTGCCGCAGAGGCGACGCCGGAGGAGAGGAGTGAGTCGTGTGCGACGGAATTCCCGCCGCCGCAACTGCAGTTTTTGTGCCTCTATTCCCTCTACATGGGTGGGGAGTGCGTCAAGTGCACCAGCAGCAACCCACGCAAGAGCACCAACCCGCACCTGAGGACCCTGCGCGGGCGCCTGCTCGCCGTGCTTGAGCAGCAGCGCCGCTCCTCGTCGACGCCGGCGGCGTCTGTGCGCTCCTCTGTGAAGCCCGCACCGCGGTCGTCGACGTTGATGGGGGTGGGCGCGGCGGCGTACGGTGACCCATTCCTCTGCTGGCTGCACGGCGTCGTGCTGCGCGAGCTCGGGATGAAGCAGGAGAGCGCCACCTACTTTCTGGCCGCCCTCTGCAACCACCCGATGCTCTGGTGCGCCTGGGAGGATCTCTGCACTCTCGTCAGCCGCGAAAACCAGATTGAGGAGATTGAGGCAATGATCGCCGCGCTGGAGCCGCGGTTTATGCCGGAAATATTCCTGGCCACCGTGAAGGCGGCGCTGAACGTTGCCCCCGTCTCGCTCGCCCCGTCGTCCTTGTCGAGCGCGGCGGCCGCTGCCATGGTGCAGCGAAGCACAAGCCCGCACGGCGGCAGTTTGCCGCCCCAGCCGACGCCGGCGCGGGAATCGCAGCAGCAGCATCAGCAGCAGCAGCAGCAGCAGCAGCAGCGACGTGGGGAGGGGTACGTGTCCCCGCGGCTGGTGAACTCCTGGGAGGCGCTGCTGGAGCGGTTCCCCGGCAGCCTTTTCCTCCTCTCCAACCTCGCCGGCTACTACTACAACGTCAAGAAGGACTTGGAGAAGGCCCAGAGCCTCTACAAGCGGCTGCATGAGATGAATCCCTACCGGCTTGAATCCGTGGACGACTACTCTATCGTGCTCTTCCTCCGCGGCGACCGCATTGGACTCAGCAGCCTCGCGCAGCAGGTCTACCAGATTGACCCCTTCCGCGCCGAAAGCAACTACGTGGTGGGCAACTACTACGTCCTGATGGGCGCACACGATCGCGGGGTGTTGCACTTTCGTCGCGCCGTGGCGGCTGACCCCACGTTCCTCGCCGCCTGGACGCTGCTCGGCCACGCCTACCTGGAGACGAAGAACAGCGCGGCCGCGGTGGAGGCGTACCGCGCCGCGGTGGAGCTTGACCCACGCGACTACCGTGGCTGGTACAACCTCGGCCAGATCTACGAGCTGCTGCAGTTCTACCACCATGCGCTGTACTACTACTGGCACACGACGACGCTGCGCCCCACGGACCCGCGGATGTGGTCTGCGGTGGCAAACTGCCTCGACCGCGAAGGCCGCAAGGAGGAGGCGGTGCTGTGCCTCGAGCGCGCCGAGGCGTACGAGAGCTCCTCCTCCGACTACTACCCGCCGCTGGTGCACCGCCTCGGCTCCCACTACCTGGAGACGCGGCAGCCGGATCGGGCGGTGGTGTACCTCGAGAAACTCGCCCTCTCCGAGGCACGGCGGCTGGATGACGTGCTCTTCGCCCTCCCGCACGTGTCGTCGTACTACCTGAAGCAGGCGCGGCAGCTGCTGAACATCCCCTCGCGCTCCCCCAGCTACGACCCCGCCCCGCACTACGCCGCGAGGGCAGGGAGGCCGCCGCCGACGGCTGCAGGAGGGGCTGCCAGCGCCGGCAGTGGCGACGGCTTCGTCGTCTACGGCTGCAGCCTAGCCGACCAGTGGCTCGCGGCGGACGCTGCGGTGCGGCGACACATCGAGGCGCGCTGGGAGCAGGCGGCGTTGTGCCTGACAAAGACGGAAAAACACTTGGGGAGCTTCGCGGCCGCGTTGGGCATTCCGGTGTCGGCGGCAGCAGAGCCCGGGATGCCTGGGCCCGCGGAGTACGGCGACGCCGGCGGCGGAGTGATGCCTGAGGAAGGAGCGAGCCAGCACACCATGCAGCTTGACTGCCTGTGCCGCGAGCTAAACAAGGTCCGTCAGTACCTGGCGAGTCAGCAGGAGCAGGTGGAGGCGGCCGTTAGAATGCGGGGAGGGGGGCGTGAGGGAGGGAGTGCGTAGAATGTGAACGGGTAACGTGCGGCGACACAGACGTGGGCGCAGTGTGACAACGCAAAGGAGCCGCCTACACACACACACACATGCATGCATGCGTAATCGGCTCATTACACCAAACAAGTGAAGTTTGAGAGGAGGCAGCAGAGGAAAGGGAAGAAAAAAAAGGAAACAAAAGACAAAACAAAACTAAAAGAATAGAAAAACGGAAAAAAAAGTGGGGGAAAAAGTTGGTCCAAAAATGTGTGGATCTTCGGCCAACGTCTACGGCTCTTCTATTTCCCCTTATTTTTTTTTGTGTGCTTTTTTTGAAGTTTTATTCCTTTTTCTTTTTTTTTGCTTCCCTGCCTTTCTTCCGACGCGTGCCACCACCCGCAGCAACCTGCGCTTCAGCCCCTCCGATCTTTTTTCCTTTTTTGTTTGTGTGTGTTGCTGCGTTTTGTTTCCTTTTCTGGCGGAGTCCGACGAAGGCGGCCGTGCCCTTCTCTGCCCTTCTCTGCCCTTCTCTGCCCTTCTCTGCCCTTCCGCCGCCCCCTGCACGGCGGCAGCCGGGGGTGGCGCGTGGGCGACGGCAGGGGCCCCTGTCCTCCCCACCGCCTCAGTTCATTTCTTTCCTTTATATATATATATTTTCTTTTTCTTTCGTCGTCCCCTCGCAGGGCGGGAGGGTCCTGCACGCGCAGGCAAAAGATGGCAACGCCGCCGGCGCCGGAGGCTGCGACGGCCGCCCAGGCGTCACCGCAGCGCCTTCGCGAGCTCCTCGACGAGGTTGCGCGGAAGGAGGAGGCGCTGCGGCAGCTCCGCGCGCTCTTTGAGCGGCTGTGCCGGGACTACGAGGTGGAGCAGCGCAACGCGGCGCGGGCCAAGCTGGAGCTCGAAACGCTCCTGACACGGCACGAGACGCAGCAGCAAGAGCTCGTCACCATGAAGGCCAGGAGCGCCGTGCAAGAGGCGCGAATCAAGGAGGAGGACGGCGCCTGGGCGCGCCGCACGCGGCAGCTGCGGCAGGAGCTCGCGGCCGCCGTTGAGGAACGCGACGCCCTGGCAAACGAGCGGGAGGCGCAGTGGCAGCAGACGCGGATGCTGCGCTCACAGCTGGAGGAACAGCAGCGGCAGAGCGCGGCGTCGGAGGATGCGTGGCGGTGCAGACTCGACGAGGCACGCCGAGAGGCGGCGGTAGAGGCGCAGGCAGGGATGCGGGAGCGGGAGGAACTGCTGCGACTGCGTGAGGCGGAGTTGCAGCGGGGCGGCTCGCAACTTGAGGGGCGCCTCGCCGATGCGGCCGCGGAGGCACGGCGCCAGCAGGAGGCGAAAGAGGCGCTTATGCTGCGGATAGACGACCTGCAGCGTTCCCTGCGGCGGCAGGAGGCCATGACGCAGCGCGCGCAGGACGCACTGAGCGTGGAGCAGAAGGCGAAGGCGCAGCTGGGGGAGTACATGGCACTGGAGCGGCAGACGCACCGCCAGCGGCTGGAGCAAACCGAGAATAGTTACAAGGCGCAGGTGCAGGAGATGCAGCGCCTCTGCGATCAGCACGCGCGCGAGCGCGAGCGGCTGGAGAGTGAGGTGACACGTTGCCAGCGAGAAGCACAGCAGGAGGCGCAGCGCACGCGGGAGCTGTGGCTGCAGCAGAAGCAGCAGCTTGAGGCGACGATAGAGTCCCTGCGCGGGGAACTGACACGCGCCCGCATGCGCCTCGACACAGCAGATGAGTCGCAGCAGCGCGTGGAGGCGCTGCTAGCGCGCAGCAGACGCGAGTTGGAGGCCTCGCAGCAGCAGGAGGCGGTGCTGCAGGAGACCGTCGCCTCCCTGCACAAGGCGGCGGCCAGGCGTGACGCCACCCACCTGCGCCTGGAGGGGGAAGTCGCCCGACTGCTTGCCGCTGTCGCCGAGCGCGAGCGCGAGACGGAGCGGTGGCGGTCGGCGGTGGACCGCAGGGAGTGGCAGTCCAGGCTGGAGGTGGAGCGCGAGCGCGCGCTTCCCGAGCCACTGCCGCCGCCGCCACCGCTGCCGCTGCCGCTGCCTGCGGCTTCCGCCGCCCGCCGGGCCGCTCGCCGCGCCGCTCGCCGCGCCGCTCGCCGCGGGTCACCCCGCATCGGCCGCTGCAGCAGGCGGAGAGCATCGACTACACCCCGGCGGGAGGCAGCTCCCCGTCCCGCGTCGAGGCGGAGGAGGAGGAGGAGGCTGAAGTGCTTCGCTCGCTCGTGCAGGAGGTGCTGCAGGGGTGCATGGCGACACACACGCGGCCCTCCGCACCCGCCTCCAACGCCGCTGCAACTGCTGCTGCTGCTGCGGCGACGACGACGACGACGACCGACCGCCACGTGCAAACCCCGCGGCGCCGGACGATGGCGTCGCGTGGGCGGCGGCGTGCGCCAGCGGGCGACGCAAACCTTGCGGAGGACTCGCTGCAAAACGGGTCGGCTTCGCCGTCGCCCATCGCCCGCGCCACACCGCCGCGGGACGTCAGTGCGCCCGGCAGGCGCGCCCCGTTGACCGTGGCGCCGTCGCTGGCCTCCGCCCCCTCGCCCTCCACGACGACCTCGGCGAATTCCTCCATTTTGCAAGCCGCCGCCCCGCTCTTCGGGCCGGCGTCGAACAACTCCTACCTTGACTCCTCCTCGTCCGCCGCCGCCTCGCAGCCGCAGCGGAAGCGGCCGTCGGGCGGCAACGAGGCCGCCTCACACTTTTATGCGGATTCGCCTCTGACGGTGCCCCTCGCGCCGGACGCGGCCGACGCCGACGCCGACGCCGACGCCGACGCCGACGCCGACGCCGCGGCAACGGTGGCCCTCATACAAAAGTACACGTGGGAGCGGGCGGAGGCGGAGCAGCAGATGCGGCAAACCCTGCGCGACCTCGAGCGGCGCCAGCAGCAGCTGCTCTCCACTGTGCAGGGTGGCGTGGCTGCTGCGATCTCCACGGACGCCCCCGCCCCGGCGTCGCGCAACGGCAACGGCGTGGGGCGGCACAACACCAGCGGCACCTCCTCCTCCGCCGCCTCGACGGCCACCGTCTACGCCTCGTCGCGCGCGTCGTCGGCGCAGGCGTCCACCGCGGCCCCCGCCCCCCCGTCTCGCCTACTGCTACTGCAGGAGCGGTTTGCGACGATGCCTATAGCGCAGTGAGGCCGTCGCAACAGCAGTGAGCGGTGGCGGGAGCTCGTGGAGGTGCCCCACTGCCCCCGCGCCCTCTTCCTATTCATAGAGCCACGACAAACACGTGGACCGTAGTTGACGCCCACAGGCAACTCCTTGCAGGCGAAGCGGATGAAACGTGAGGCCGACATGCAGTGGGGCTCGGGCACCCTCACCCCGCAGAAATACACACGCACGAACACACACACACACGCACATACACACACACACACATACATCTTCTCTTCTGCCTCCAGTCACAAAGGAGAGCTCTGTTGTTTCACTCCCTGGTGTCTGCAAGCAGAAAAAAACAACAGCAGCAACAAAAGCTTGCAGCAACAAAACAGAAGGGGAAACCCAACTGCAGCTCTCTCACTCCTTCTCTTTCTTTCTTTCCCACCTTCAACAACGTGTCCCTGGTCGTAGTTGTCATTCTTTCTTAGCCGTTATACGCTCCACACTGAACGCTTACATTTAATATGCTGCGCAAAACACTCCTCGGGCTCTCCAAGGCCATCCCCATCAACCCCCGTGTGGTGGCGGCGCAGTACGCGGTGCGTGGGCTGATCCCCATGCGGGCGGACGAGATCAAGAAGGCGCTGGCGACGCCGGAGGGGAGGGCCAAGTACCCCTTCTCCAGCCTTGTCTACTGCAACATCGGCAACCCACAGGCGCTGGAGCAGGCGCCGCTGACGTTCTTCCGGCAGGTGATGTCGCTGATCGACGCGCCGTTCCTGCTGGAGAACGAGCAGGTGACGTCGCAGTACCCGGCGGACGCCGTGGCGCGTGCGCGGGAGTACCTTGGCCACATCGGCAAGGGCACGGGCGCCTACACGGACTCCGCGGGCTACGCCTTTGCCCGCGAGATTGTGGCGCGGCGCATCGACGAGCGCGACCACGGCGCACAGC